TATTGTTTATGCTCAAACAGCAACATTACACACTAACTAACATTAAAAAAGTGAAATCGCAATGAACCATCCCTTTAATAAAGTTTAAGAGCTGTGGGAATATTATCAGTGAATAACTTAAATTTTGCCTCGTTATTCACATAAAAATATTGTTTGACTTCATTAGATCCTTAAGATTCATAAGAGAAGATACTTAGGTGTAACATCACCCAAGTTGTCATATGGACTACTTTTATGGGGCTGTCTATCATCAAAAAGAGTATACTGGACTTTCTGTGAAATATCTTTTTTTGTGGTCCATAGAAGAAAGAACGTCTTATGGGTTTAGAACAACATGATACGAGCGTGAGTAAATGATGACAGAATTTACATAATTATATTTTAATTCCCCCCCGTTTACCATTGTGGCAAGTGTCGTGTGATTACCTGTGAGTTAGCCAGCTCTTGTGTCAGCTCCTGTATTTTCTTCTGTTGCTGGACCAGCAGCTCCTGCACTGAAGCCAGGGTCATCTGCAACTGGGTGACTGCATCCAAAAACACACAAATGAAGATAAGACTACACCCAAAACAATTACCAGAACTTCACGAGCAAAGAAACGGCAGCTGTAGTCGAGATCCAGCGCAAACCGACGTATCTGTTTGTTTGAAAGCATTACCGATGATCAACACGCTGTGGTTTTCTCTTTGATTTAGCCTTCAGCTCAATCAGTAATATAAGACACCTCTATTTGTATAAGATTAATCACCTACGTCTGCTCTTATATCAAATCAGGGTCTCTTAACCTCCATTAGCATGGGTTTGAAACGCTGGCTCTATGGAACTCTCCAAACAATCAACAAGATAGAAAAAAACCCTGCTCATTTGGGAGGCAGGAGGGCTAGACACTACTGTCCTCACTAATCTTACTAAATACAGCTAATTTTCCTCCCTCTCTGAAGATTGAATTATTGTCAGATTGTGCTGGTCCCGAGGATTAGAGAAAGCTCAAGAAAAACAGCCCTAGCAGGGCCAGAGTTGGTGTTATTAATGGGGGTATCATTTCAAATAACCTAGAGCACAAGTCGCTCTCCCCGTTTCCAGTCACACATGCATTCCCAAACAATGCATTAAGTTTCCAAACTGATTACGTTACAGAAAACCAATAAACGCCTCTATAAATCATGCTCTGTAAAGTGTTAAATCATCTCTAATTAGATTAACATCAGCAGATATTATTAGCTGCCGACTGTTGGCTCTCCGGCGCACAGTTCCAGGGCTCTCCTTTCATAGAAACAGCCTTTCCACTTTCTGCTTAAGAGCTGTTACATGCTTCTTTCTCTCACAGCCTTCGTCTGTCTCATTAGGTGACTACTTACAAAATAACAGACGCTGAAGTTTTCCTTGCTAAATAGTAATGATGGTACAAACTTGTCCTTTCAGATTAGCGTATTAGTATTAATAAGAGAACTGAAATACGATTTGTTGTTACGATTTCTCTAAAAACATATTTAAAGAAACAGTTAACTCAAAAAATTTTATTCTGCCTTTATTTATCCTCATGTTGTTCCAAACTAGTGAGATTTTTATTTTTCTGTGGAACACAAAAGGAGATGTTTCTCAGAATGCACATTCAAACCTGGTTGCTTGGTTCATACATCACAAGTTTGAATGTGTGTTTCAATGCTATATGACAGAGGGGAATATTTTCAGTCCCTAGACAAACCAGTCATATGGCTACAGAAAACTTGATACATAGCAAACCATATGGGATTCACAACAAGTAAATGACGGCAGAATTTGTATTGTTGGGTGACCTATCCCTTTAAAGAAAGAAAAACTACTTATTATAGATCTGAGTTTATATGTGATCATGGATGCATTAGATTAATTAAATAGATACATTTTTTAATCTTCTGTAGAAGCACATGGTTAGAAATTACATTTAGCCATGGTGCTCAAGTGATCTTCGAACTATAACTATGAATAAAATAGCTAAGAGGTCTAAAATAAAGCAAAAATAAAGCAGGAATGCCACAACAGCCTACGTCAACAGCAATTCCAACAATTTTACACTGAGAACGAGCAGCAATTGCACCAGACCTCTAAACCCACAAAACACTCAGTTCATACTCAAAACACAAGAAATAATGCCTCCATTTAGTGTGGCTCAGGTTTCCACAAACGTTCTCTTTGGAGAAAACAATTGGCTGAATCTGAGATCCTGCAAGTGGCTTCGCAGCTGCTGTGAGGAGGCAGACAGTGTGTATAGCGTAAATTATTCAGTAAATACCTCAATATAATGTACATTGCATATGTCAGGGCCTGTCTGAGCCTTTATTGGCCAGCTGGTCACCAATATGCTCTCTGCAGACAAAGAGACCAAGCAGCTAGCACAATTCCATTACAGCCGGCACGAGTGTGAGTGCGCGTGTGCGACAAAATGCTTCCAAGACCTGTGGAAAGTTGTTGGGAAATCATAATGGGAGTCAAGGCCTACACTTAAAGGCTGCAGGAGTAATGGAGCCACATTCAAAGGAATACATCATTCCAATGTACTTGGCACTAGAGAAATACATTAACTTTTAACAAAGGGGTGCGGGCAATTGGCAAGAACGGCAGTCACTTGCTATTACTCACGTTAAACTCACTCCGTAATTGCAACCCTCTCCCAAACTGTTAACTGAAACAGTCATTAACTACAATAGCAACTTGGCTACTGCAGCCACAGCAAATTAGATCAGCGGAGTGACTGACTGAGTGACGGGGTAGGTACGGCTCTACCAGGAGAAAACGAGAGAGTGGCAGAGGGAAGGAGGGAGAGAGTGGTAAAAAAAAGATTGTCAGGAACAAGTGATTCACAATACTAATATGAAAAGCAGCTTCAGTCCGGAACAATAAAAAAACTCTTATCATCTGAACGTGACGTTAAACAAAACAGGAATCCTGCTAAAAACCAAATCTAATGAGGGCCAGACAGGCAGCGTAATACAAAGGAGAGTTTTTTTGCATATATGAACCAAAATGCAATGAAGAGGCTCATTTGATAATCAGATAAAGAAACCCACATCAAGCTTGCACGCAATGGCTCACAATCGACTGGCCTTTCAGCAACCCACCCCACACCAAAAACTGGGCAATGGGCAATGTAATACAAAGACACAGCTGACTAAAATCACTCGTCTTTATCCTATATGCCCCAAATTAGCTTATTTTGATCTCCTGGATAATGAAAACAATACTATATGCATAACAGAAGACTATGCTGAGATCAGAAATCCATGCATAGATCCAGATCATTTCCATGGTTTTATAAGGCAAATATTAATATGGCTAATCGGCAAGCACATTCTGACAAAGTTTACTTCATAAATGACAAGAAGTCTTTTGTCTATTATATGGCAAGAATGCTTTGCATGTACTGTTTCACCTTTATGGACTGCGTGTTCTATATCAACAATTTTCAAAATTCAAATGTGTACATGGTATTCAGCTAGACTGAAAAGAAATACTTAACGTAGCAGAAATATGTTTAGGCAGCTGGAGAGGGACTTTTTTTAACAGTACTGGACACTTTTACTCATTACACTCAATTTAGACTGAAAATTTACAAGTGAAAATAATATGTAAAATCATAATATGTAATATGATTTGTTTTACTGTGGCACTGAACAATGGTGCAGGAAACATTGATAGAATTAAAATGAACTAATTAAATGTATGCCACCTAGAAATACAGGACTTTAAATTGTATATATATATGAGCAATATCACTCGAGTACGAGAGCGATACCGGCTATATATCAGCGGCTGTGATTAGGCCAGAGGCGGAGGCAATCACAGCCCCTGATATAGAGCCGGTTTCGCTCTCATACTCGAGTGATATTGCGTTTATACAACAGTTTGACGGAACATGCGTGTAATTAAACAAGAAACAACGGAGTGCCTAATAAAACCCTCTTTTGTGCGGAACTACTTCCTTCCGCCACGGATTCAAAGCTCAAGTTGACAGTTAAACATACATCACATTTAGAATTCGTATCAAGGGCATGTGTATGAAGGTAGAATGACGTCAAAAAGATTTGCATACGCAGGGTAAGAGTTGTGGAAGTGTACACAAGACTGTAAGCGTAAATTAAATTTGCATGCGCAAGAGAAGCTTTGTAAAGGTGAAAATCAGGTTTCAAGCGCAAGAAAAAATTATTTGCAGCATTTTACTGTTATTCGTAAGTGTAATTCATGTATTGTGAAACTGCAGCTTCATGCTAACGCAAAATAAATATGATCTGCATGCTTCTGACTTCCATTTTTCCGCGCTTACACTTTTGGCACGTTTTTTTCGCCAAAAGACGGTCAAAAGCACTGCAAGCCTGTGAACAGTGATTTGCAAGCGAAAACATTTGTCATCAAAATGACCTTTACACTAGTCTAATGCTCACTTAAGGTTAATCTTTAAAAAAACAAATAAATTAATAACACGGTTAAATGTTATCTTTACAAATCTCAAAATGATTATCCATTTTTAATAATGTACATTATAATGTTGTGATGCCTAAAGCCATTTCCAAAATAACTGTATAAAAATAAGCTTTTTTTATTTTGAACATATTTATATCTAAATTAAGAAATAATTTTGATATTGTTGGAAAATTATCAGCTTATCGGTATTAGACAAAAATTGGTATACTGGTGCATCCCTATTTTTAATGATTAAATATACTTAAGGAAGACAATACCATTCATTAAGTATGAAAATAGACATGAAAAAAAAACAAGAAAAAAGACCAATTGCATTTCAGCATGTACTGTAAAACTTGTCTTAGCAAATAGCTTGAACTTGAATAGCAAATATTCTAGTCACATCTTTTTTTTTTTTTTTACTTTAAAAACAATAGACATTACAAATAGATTTAATAACTAAATAAATAAAGCATAGCTAAATCTGAAATTATTTACTAAAAAACCATTGGAGTTTCATGTGAAGTAATTCAGTTCAAATTAACTGTGAAAGTTTAGAGGTTTAGAATAAAATCTTAACCAGACGAATATCAGAGTGCTGCTTTGTAAAAACTGTAAGAAAATAAACTGCATCCTTTGTCCTGCATTGTCTTTCTTTAGAATAATAAATAAAGAAATAAATGAAACATTGCAAGAGTGAATTGTCATTTACACAGAAGGAGCCACCCAGCTGTAAGTCGACTGCGGCACTAACGAGACAAAGTTTCTTCGGGAAGTGTCCCGCTTTCATGGTTGCCGGGATGTTTAATTACACCGGCTGCGTAGTGGGTAAAGAGAGGAGGAGGAGAGAGGAGAGGCATCCCTCACTGACAGACTAGCTGAGATTCCTCACCTGTCCAAGGCGGGAGATGCACCTGTCACCACACACTTAATCACCAGTGCGCTCGGGGCCCAACCGGGGAGCCACACCACCACGCCGAAAATTAAAATGAACTTTCTTGCCATGCAGTTAAGGCGGCAAAAAAAAAAGAAAAGAAACGCTGTCATTCCTCTTCCCCTCATTAATATTCTGAGGTTAAGAGCTTTTCAGCGAAACGTAATTAATTGAAGCTGAGCTGACAGTAAACAAGCAATTTCAAATTAAAGCAAAATGACAGGACCGTCATTTGCAAAATGTGAGCAGATTTTGGCGACAGATAAATTAAGGAAAATGTTAAGGAGGAAAAAGTGATGAAGATATTAATCTTCACCTGTCTGTGTCAGCGTGCCACTCATATCCGCGATGTTGCTCTCGATCCGCTGCAGATGCTTCTTGTCCTCTTTGCTGCCCATAATGAGGGGAAGGATGTATTTCTGCAATTAAAAACATGGCACGCTATTAGAATTCCACTCAGGAACAGGGAAAACAGGCCAGCGGACCAGGACACGCTCTGTCGCTACATGTCGAAAAATAGACAAAGGGCTAATCTATTAGTGTTAGTGTAATCAAACCAAAACTCAACTAAAACCCTCAGTGAAGGGATAAAATCTCATGGTTTATTTTTGAGAGCTTTACGGCATTTGTTTGATGAGAAATATTGCGAAATAACAATTTAAAACAAATAATTTGTATTTTACTATATTTTAGAATGTAATTTATTCCTGTGGATTTTTAGCAGTCATTACTCCTGTCTTCAGCATCACATGATCCTTCAGAAATTATTCTAATATGCTATTCTAATAATTAGGTGACAATCTTGAGCAAAATAAATGTACAAATTTTAAAAGCACTAGAATAAACCCTAATTTATATAACCGAGTTGAAAATGATGAACATCACCATTAAACTAAATATATCCCTAAAATAAAGACCTAAAATGACAAGCAGAAATTGGCTAAATCCTGTTTTGAAACTGAATGGAAGTGATTCATTTGAATGACTTGTTAAAGCTACATTTGAGAGAGGCTGGATAAAGATAGCATGTTTTATTACAGCTTACAGTGTATCAGTACAATATGATATTAAACAGGGGGGGGATCCAAACAATACTAGTGCTTGAGCTTGATTTCACAGCATCAAATTCAGTATTGTGTTTGGCAACAGCAGATAAAACTTCATTATATGAATTATGATTAATAGGCCTGCATTCATGCTGAAAAAAACAAGACGTTTTTTTTTTTAATCCCTCTCAAAAGTCTTGTGGTTTTCTCACTTCATCCAGAGCAATTTGCCTCAATGGCTGACACAGAGGCCAAGAATTAAGCATCGGGGCATGACTCTGGGTTCAACATCATTAAGTCTTTTAGCCCACAGGCTGGCTTCTCCATTTGAACATGTCACCTTCTGAGGACAATTGCTTGTCAGAGTTTAAGCCTTGTAGAACAACATCTCCAAACACTGAGAATAAGCGGCAAAGGTCAGACGGCTAGCGCTTCCGGTAGCTGCCACCCGGTTCTCACGCCATCACTGTTTTATTTTTAAATGCACACGTCGATTTTTTTTTCCCAGACAAACAAACAGCACATAGATGGGGGGATTAACATGGCATTTGGTGAATAGCTGGGTGCTGTAAAGCGTAATGTGCGTGTGCAGGCTCTCCGTCTGGAAAACAGTTGGCCTTAACAGGTTTTCACAGCGGAGCGAACATTGTTGACACTGGCATAAGTAATACACACTTTTAAGTTGAAAAAAAATCAGAATAAGTGTCAACACCAGGGTAGTTAATAAGAGAGCTGCTGTGAGTGCTGTTTACAATGTGCTCTATAGCATAAATAAAGTGGAGGTGGAGGCCGGGGCATATGGTGGCACCGGTGAGCCGTTCCTTTGACATGACAGCAGTGAGAGCTCTCGCACCAGGGAACAGCACCTCCAGTCATGGGCACAGATCCTCTGAACAGCAGAGACGCACGCGGGGGACTGGAGAACCACAAACTGTGTGTGTGTGTGTGAGCGAGACACAAAGAACGAAAGTGAGAATCGAGCGAGCAAGAGAGTTACAGAGAGTAAAAAGAAGGACAGTTTTGCATTTTCTGACGAAAATGTGAGTGGTGCTTGCCTGCACAAAAATCAATTCAATAATGCTAAGAGTATTGCGAACAGTTGCCAAGGCGTCACTACTTGGTTGTGTTTGGAGTGTTTTTTGTATGTTGCTAGAACATTCAAAGAACTCACACCAAAGTCTTTATTATATTGTCATCACTAATCATGTCTATTTTTTGCCAATTTTATTGTCTGCCAAGCAAAAGTCTTATATACAATCTTTTAGTAAATTTGCTGGTTCATACTACCATTCAAAAGTTTAGGGTTGGTAAGACTTTTTAATTTTTTTTTTTAAATGAAATGAAATTTTGTAATATTTTTAAAAGAAGTCTCTTATGCTCACCAATGATGCACTTATTTGATCAAAAATACAGTAAAAACAGTACTATTGTGAAAAATGATTGCAATTAAATTAATTGCAATCATTGTAAAAATGTAATTACATTTTTTTTATATATTTAAAATGTAATTGATTCACTGTGATGGTACAGTAGATTTTTCAGCATCCATTACTCCAGTCTTCAGTGTTACATAATGCTTCAGAAATCATTCTAATATGCAGATTTGATGATCTAGAAACATTTCTTATTCTTAGTATTAGAAACAGTACTAGAAACATTTTTTCTGGAAATTCATACATTTTTTCCCCAGTACTCTTTGATTAATAGAAAGTTCCAAAGAACAACGTTTATTTGATATTTCTGTAACAATATCAAAGTCTTTACTGCCACTATTGATCAATCTAATGATTCCTTGCTGAAAAAAAATATTCATTATTAAAATGTATTCTTTATTTAATATTTTTATATTTATTATTATATTTATTAAAGCACGAGTTATGTGTTAGTAACCTGCAAATGTAATACTTGGGGTGTATTACTATTACTATTTAAACAAACCCCTAACTAGGATTAAGGTATGTTCAACTAATGATAGCAACAATGAAATAGGAATAGTAACAGTAATGACTTCCTGAGCAAGCACCAGTAATGAGAATGAGTGAAAATGAAAGTTGATAAAAATGAGAGTTGAAGTCCCATTCTCAAAACATCACTTTAAGTACTGAACAAGCTACAGTTTCAGATTGTAAAACACTGACTCGTATAAAAGGAAAATGTGACTTTTTCTGTTAAAATGACATGGGTTTGGCTCACTACATTAGTAAGAGCTGTCATGTGGGCTACTGGCTTTATAGACTGCGTGTGCTGAGAGCAGCAGAGGGACTGATTGACTGAAGTAGCCGAGTGCAGACGGAAGCTTAGGAAGCTAAACATGCATTCCTAATCATGACATCAAGGGAGTTCCATACAATGTCATTGTAAATGCTCTCTTAAAGGCCACTGCTCCATTTTCTTTCTCTTATAAAACACAGTAATGGAGTCCACATGCTCCTGTGGGCAGTGTGGGTTTAATGTCACTGAGAAACAGGGTCTCTCCCTTACTCGACGGGGCCTGAGGGCCCACGCACCCATCCGTGCCCACGTACAAAACCGTGTTGTGATAGTACTGGAAAGCAGCAAGAGTACTGTATCTGGGTTTTTCCGAAAGGGAAAATAAAGAAAGATCTAGGGGTTGAGTTGAGCTCATTCCGATGACGTTACACTGTAACCACAGTGATTTACATCATCAATGTAAAAAACACATACAAAAGTAAAAATGCTGGGAAAAGCTTGAGTTCTCAGAATAATAAACACATTTAGAGAAATAGGCTTTTGGTGGCACTTAGACACGCACCCGGTAGAGATGATAGAAGCCAAAGGCCATTCCTGCCAGGATGACAGCCAGGGCACTGTAGTCTCTCCATCTGTAACCTGAGGGACCTGCAAAGATACACACAATTTAATTTGACATGAATGAAACAAAACTGCGGTGTACAGAAATGCAGTATATCCAATGGCCTAATTCTGAAAAACAAGCAGAATTTTTGAGCAATTTGCTAATAAAATCATTCTTGAATGCATTTTTGCTTAAGATGGTGCCGGTGACCCAGATCACTTCTGTGAATCGGTATAAAGTGTCCATTTTAATGAATCAATTCAAAACACTGATTCAGTGATTTGTTTGAATCATCACTCAAATTTTTCCACGAAAGACCCCTCATATTTTTTCATATGTTAAAAAAAGCTTTAGCAAAAATGTAATATGTAGGAATTTTATGCTCTGCAAGTGTTTGGTCAAAATGGCTGATTAAAAAAAATTATCAAGAGTGGAAGAAATTATCTAAATGCATATTAAATATTGTGGAAAAACTGAAAAATATAGCAACATTTCTTTTATAAAAATATTTATATGAAATATTTTATAATATTATCAATCTAAATTTCCACAAGACAAAAAATAGAAACCACTGACTGTAAACATTTGATTAGACTTGTGACTGCACCACGCACTGCCTGCACTTCTACCCTTCACAGCTTTTTTTGTTTACGTCAAACTACTGTTGAAAAACTGTTGGGGAAAAAAAAGTAGTGTCTACAATGACTAAAGTTTATAGTCTAAATACGTCTATATGAATTGGTGCTCTTGTTCCTAGAAGGAAAGGGGAAAGAAAAAAAATACGAATTCTGATTACACGTGGCTGTGGAAGTGTAAACTAGATCTGAACTCTTAGATTAAGTACCACATTACTGTAAAACAGAAATTTCATCAGCTATGACTGAGTATAACGGAAACTCCCGCTTACAGTATTTGAGGGGAAAAGCACTTTGTTAAGGGTAATTGTGATCTTGAAGAAATGAAAATGAGAATTGTTTAAAAAAAATCACTCGTACGGTTTCTGCTCAGACCTTGCACAAGTGCTCACTAGTGGTGAGATGAGGTGTGAATGTCGCATAAGAACAACGAGTACTATCAGGAAATGAAAGCCCACATCAAAGATCCCTCCTCACCCCTCACACTCATTCTCAGAGAGAGACAGTTGACCTGGCAGAAGGCAAAAAAAAAAAAAAAACAGTTCAGTGCAGATTAAAAAAACAAAGAAAATTAAAATGCTTTTCTCTGGGAGCGAGACCTGACAGAATGCTCTGCTTTAAAGGAATTTAACATGCATCAAAATTTGGAGCAGCATGATGATGAAAAATCAAATGCTGAACCACTTAAATATCATGAAAAGAACAATTAGGAATTAGGGAAAAACTCAACTCAGCCGTTTCAATTCACGCTGAGGCAATGTGGCAAGGCTCAGCCAACAGAAAGGAGGGAGAAATTATCATGCAAATGTTTAACGGCACACCAAACAGAGAAGTAATTAAAGCAAGCCTGGCTCTGGCAGGTCAACATGTCAGATACAAAATGCTCCATTTTGTAACATAGCGTGGTCTGCGGAACAGGTGTGTTACTGTAATTTGTTTGAATCTGCTCTACTGAATACAAATAGACAGGCTCTCTAATAGACCAGCAAAGCAATAGTAGTTTTTCATTTTTTTTAATGCGTAACTGAACAAGCAGTTTTTATCTGATTAATTATATTAGAGGTCTATTAGGGAGACCCAAATAAAATATGGCACTGATTCTTGAGAATGTCCCACAATTTTACCTGCCATTAATTTTTAAAATAGCACATTTTACACTGGATCACTCGACTTTTCTTTACACAAATGTATCATTTTGTTTTCTCTTTTAATAAATTATCTTATACTACTCCTACACCATGTGACCATGTTTAAAGTCTTGATTAAAATAAAGCAGACATAGTAGAAAATAAAAAATAAAGTTTATATATAATTTCATATATAAAGTAACTGTGCAAATATTTTTGTCTCAGTCATTACTCTTTAACACAAATTGTAAGGAAATCATTTGGCAGTTTTAGATGATTTTCTTCATTTGAAGAAGTCATATAGAAGAGAACAGATTACTCCAAAAATAATTCTGAGGTAAATGAACTTTTATTTCTACACTTTTAACCTTTCTTCTCCTAGGAAACACCCAAGAATCAGTGCCTTGTCACTGAAGACTGAAGCTTAGTTCTGCTGAATGAAGGTGACATTCTACACCAGAAAGTACATCAAAAACGTCCATTTAAAGAACTTCTGACAACATCACTTTTTGTATCGATGGTAAACACCATTAACTGAAGTGTCCTTGTGGGAGCATGGCGTGCAGGACACGCATGATGGCAGTCTGGGCGATTTCAGAGTCCTTGAGCTTAGCCGGCGGCCGTGACCGATCTCCTACTTCAACTTGAGGTCCAAACGGAGGTCCTTCTTCCACATGGGTAGCCCCTTCACCTCCACTTTCCACTCCTGCTTTTTATTTGGTCACTTAAGGTGTGAGCATGGCCTCCATTCCCCTTTTTTCCAATCTCTGTTCAAATTTATTGGGTTCAGAAAAGGCCCTACTGTCCTTCTGCCGCTTGAAAATAGAGATCAGAGTATCCATTACTCCGACAGAGATGGATGCGGGTCCAGACGCATCGTCCCCATAACAAGGACATCAAAGAGAGGGACCCCCTCTTTCCAACCTGACCCCCGCGAAGATCTCCTCACTCTCCCCTCATTATGCCATTCTCTCATAGCCATTTTGATATAAAACCCCCCACTCTAGTGGGGCTGAAACCTAACTACATGGCCATCCCATCAACATCGCTTTCATTACAAAACATGAGATGGCGGGGAGTCAAGGACAGGGTGGCAATAAATGAGGGTGGAATACATCTGGAATCATTGTCCTACAGGTTAAGCATTATGCGAACTTCATTCAGGATTGGTAAATCAGCGGCCGGCCTGGAGCTCATAACCCACGGAGGTAATAAAGATACAGGCTGCAGAAAGGCCCTCGGTAGGCCAACCAACCAGAGCTTGTCATAACGGTGCGGACATCATATCGCAAGGCCGTGCCAGAATTAATTTTGTGCCTACGCAAATGGGATGCTCTACACCACTCATTTCCTTTGAAAACCACTCATCTAAGATAAGTTACGTTCGGACGCTTATAAAAATATCAGCATGATATTCCAAGGTATTCCACGCAGTTGGCCCGTTTTGAATTGATGTACGGGTGAAGGTTTAAACAGGATTATGGGAACACAGAGGAGATTGGAGGACTCATTTAATATAGTCACGCACCATTTGGTAGAGAAAATCTACTAGACTAGACGAGTCATGTTTAAGGAGCGCATGGGCCGCAGAAACATACAGCGGGTGGGCGAGTGGAGGGGATATAGGGTAGACCACCTATCCTAGCAAAAGCAACTGTGGTCATACTCACTGTACGGGGCCAGTGGAACAGGGTGAGCGATGTGTGCAGGTCTGGGAACAGCGACAGTTAGAGGCTCCTCCGTACTACCGGACCACTCGATAGCCAGATCAACCTCCTCATCAGTCAGACCTACATTGAGAGAAGGTGGTATGACATTAAACACATCAACATAAGCTATTTACAAAAACATTTTAAAAAAATCAAGTTGTACTAATTTATATATTTTATATATAAAGTAATTGTGCATATACAGTGCATGTGGTCAACTAATAATTCCTTAACACAAGCTGTAAAGAAATAGTTTGGTATTTTTAGAAAACCTTCCTCATTTTAAGCAGTCTAGCTAATACATATTTGTAATAAATACTTAACATTACTTTTGAAACCTGAACAGATTGTTCCAAAATTATTTGTAACCTTTCATCTCTGAGAACTCAAGAATCAGTGCCTTGTCACTCACAAGATCGAAGGCACTCCAGAAAACTCCAGAAAGTACTAGAAAAACAGTGCAATATGAGAGGAAACAGTGGTGATATTAAGTGGAACTGTGTCCTTGACTGTCCATTGCAACCTGCAAATAGATCTAAATGTTAAAACTCTAGCTAAACTAGGTTAACAGCACTATAGGCGGCAGACATATACCAGGAGAAGCAGCTTTGGAGGTCCAAAGCTCTGAGCTCCTCTCCATTACATTCAGATCTCAAGAACAGAGCTGGTCCATTTCCTGCTGCTATATTTCCCCAGGTAGAGCTCAGCGGAACCCCAGACAGATAAAATGCATTATTTTAATTTCTTCATTGTAATGTAAATGTATTACATAATTTTGCAAATGCCAATATAATTGAATCTTCAGATCTTTTTTAATGATTTTAGTGGTGATTAAATTGCATAGAGGTCCCTGATGGAAAATGACAGGAGAGGGGAAAAAATCTAATATTAATATTTCCTTTTGTGGAAAAAAAAAAAAGCTGGTTTATTTCCAACACTGCACACAGTCATTGGTCTGCGTCTTGTCTTGATTAAGTGACTCTATGTGGGCCTAAACAGAGCGGCAATGGAGTAGACGGCAACGAGAGACCGGAGAAATACTGGGAAAAGAAAGACAGAGGCGGAAAAAGCCTGTTAGTAGAATGTACTTACTTTGACATTTAATGAAGACATAAAAGCGGGAAAACATTATGGGCTTCCTCTACAATAGGCACATAAAACCCAAATGCTTTAACATCTCCATTTAGAGCCAATAGTTTAAAAAGGCTCCAGTTTCTATTAAACTGTAAGTTACACATATCAATTTAATAAATCTACTGTATCCTACAACACACATACACACTCCCTCTGACCTTTGTTTGTCCACAGTAGACTGGAGTGTGTCAAGTCTGTCATTGCGTATTTAGTCTCTCTCTCGCGCACACTTGCTCTGTTTACTGGAGATATCCCCTTGGGCATTGCGCTACTCTATTCCACATGCTTTCATACGGCACGGCTGCCTGCCAGAGAGCCAAAAGGCTGAGCTTTGCTCCAAATTGAGCTGTTTAAAGAGCAGACAGCAAGCTGTTTTTGCGCTGTAATACACACATCATAAATGTGGCAAATGCCAGTGCCACATGTGCTTAAATAGAGCGGAGAGAGCTGGAAGCTTGGCAGAGAACAGAGTCTGAGGCTGTTCAGCCCTGTCTGCTGGGTATGAAATCACAGTCACACTTCACAGAGCCACACTAACAACACTGCAAAATAATACAGGAGCACACAAATGCAGCAGAGGTAGGGATGCATGGTTTATCGCACTGTTTTTATTGCTGCGTTTCATGGTTTTCCAGTAAAAGTTTCAATTTATAACAGTGTGAGAGTTTAATTATAGCAATTAATTGGGTACAAATTTAACTTTTTTTTTTTTAAGAAAAGTTAATGTTTAATAAAAAAAATAGAAATACATTTTTTTTTATGACAAAAAGATATCATGAAAAAAAAATTAGTGGGGACAGTGCAAATATAGATAGCAAAAAAAAAAAACTTGCTGTCCAGAGGCAAAAAAAAAAAAATGAATTTACATTATGACAAATGATATCCGTTTATGTCCATAACAAAAATAATTAGTGGCTAGAGCCAAAAAGTGGACTTGAGTGGCTTTTATAAAACAGAAATGACTGATCATCAAATCTGCATATTATTTATTTATTTGTATTCTTTATTTAAATTTTTTTTTTTGACTGTTTAATTATTGATATGTCAGTTATTCCTCCTTCCTTGGTTGTTTGCTTTAATGATGTTCTTTTGCTTATATTTGAAAGACAATAAAAAGTTGATCACACAAAAAAAAAAAAAAAAAAAAATTGAAATTTTAGCCATCACATAAAAAAAATGTATAATACAATAAAATAGAAAATGGTTAAATTGTAACAAAATGTTTCTGTATTTTTTGGTCAGTCTTGGTGAGCATAAGAGACTTCTTTCAAATACCACCTCATAAAAAATCAGCTCTAAATCATACAAAATTTCCTCATTCACAGCAGCAAAACGTTTTCATCTAGAATTTATGACACCGATCTCTGTACATATAACTATATTCTCCCTTACTTGTCAAGAATGATATTAACAAAATGTATACCGTCACAACTTTCATTAAAATGCCCATGTAGCCGTTTTTACCTCTCTTGCAGGAATCTCTAGGTTGAGGTCAAAGTTAAAAGGAGGGCAGATTCTGTGGGGGTTGACATGGCCCTGAAAAATGTTGAATAATTTAAGGCAAATATTGGTCATCCTGTCTTGCATGGCATTCAAAGTGCCAGGAAGCAGCCATGGCCATGTGCTGAGCTGGTGCAGTCAGCCTGTACTGTCCAATAAGCAATAATGTGTCCCTGGACTCCCTATTCATCTGACCACACCAGACTGCATGGTGGCAGACTATTGAATGAGACTTGAAGGCCCCCCTCTCATTTCCTCCCACTCACCTCGCCGTAAAGACGCTCTCAGGAAGTTCACGTTTTCGTGAGTTCACCTCAGAACGAGGGGGACATTTTCTAAGGACGTAATGAACAAATATGTACATATTTGTAACATCATTTGAATTCTTAAATAGCACCCCCCGTGCAATTTCAAAGGGGTCCGGCGTGCATCCGAATAAGATGCATGCAAATTCATTAACGCGTTTGCTTTTCTTTCGGGTTTTCGGACTCACTCAGCTGTTTTGTCTCCTCTGATGCCTTTATTACAAAGAAAATGGGACGCCAAATGAAAGACCTTTGAGATCCAATTTAAAAGAAGGACAACAAGAGTGAATTTTACATATAAAAGGAAAAGGACACAAAAAGGAAACACGAAATTTATTACAGTTTCCAAAACCTGTGGAATGACCCCTCGGACCTCCATTTCAGATCGACCTGCATAAGATTAATTTTTTTTAGCCATAAATTACACCTAATGATGACACCGTAAAAAAAGAACAATAATGGAAAGCTATTCTGTATTTCATTATACTGTATTATTTGGTGCACCTGATACACGCAGAGCCTGTTTATGAGTCACCATATTAGCAGATGCTCAGTCGAAGCATTTGCTTTGACCTTGCCATTCTCATTGGGGCATGAAATTACGGAGATGGCACTGCGATATTACAGCTATAAATACTGTAAACTGCATATCTGGGCTACGTTTTCTATTGTCTATCAACATAAACCTGATCAGTATTTATTTAAAGGAAAACCCATTGCTCGCTGTATTATTTATGGCTCTATTTTCTGGGCTCTTATTTTCAGGATGTGTTTTTTTTCACCCTTTTTTCAAAGAGTGATGAGGCGACTCATTCAGCCATAAAGTGCAGTTCTCCAATTTTGGCACTTGTGAACTTCATAGGGTAAGAACAAGCTCACAGGGACAATTATAAAATTGCTTACTGAACGGCTGCTCTTTTTCAGCAGACCAACAAGGCTTGAACAAAATCGCTTGGTGAATATTACTTCTTATAATAATACCAGATTGAACAAGAAGAAAAATACTTAAGGTCGTAAAGATGGAGGTCACTGAGAGCGTTTCTGTGAGACTTCACATGTCAAGTCCATGTCCCACACGATTGCTCTCATAGCGTATTCATTTATGTATTAAAAAAAAGGAGGACTCTGGTCATTTTCCTGCTTTATCTCCTTCTCCTGATGACAAAGTGAAAAGCGGCTGGCCTAGGTGGCGCCGTGGAGTAATTTATAACCACATCAATCCCTTTGTCTTCTATGCAGGCCTTGGTCATTGCCATTCCTGTCCAAGGGGTGAGTCGCATCACCTTACTTGCAAACTCTTTCCTATTAATATCAGGGATGATGAACCATTTCTTTACCTTCATGACGTGAGCGGTATTACACCTGCAATGCACCAGTGTAACTCATGGCCCTTTAAGCATAATGAAATGACTACAGGAAGAACACAAGTGAGATCAAAGATCAGGGCACTGAACTCAGCAGCTTGTGTCGGCCGTTCACATTCAGGCTTACTGGAAGCTGCTGGGTGAAGTTGAGCTGGGCTGGGGAAAAAAAAAATAGATTTTTCGATTCATCGTTTTTTATAATGTGGTCGAAAAGCCGCGAATCGATAACGTATTTATTTACGCAAATGTTTAACACAAGATCTGATTAACGTGAATCTTATCGTTAGTCTTCTCCACTAGTTGTCACCCTCTTATTTATCTTGTGCGATGTTACAACGGAAAGCCTGTCATTCATTCAGTGCTTAACATGGCGGAGATGCCAAGCAAGATGCGTGATTTGCAATGCTGAGGTGAAATGCTGTAGCAATACTACAAATCTGTCGAAGCATTTGACATTGCGCATAGGCTGCTATGATTTCTGCAACTAATGAATGAATGGAGCAGACGCGCAGACGTTTTGTTTACTACACACATAGGCCTACTGAAGCGCGTGTGTCGCTCGCAGTGTTTTCAGCCTCTGCTGTCTCACTATATGATGATATGAACACACAAACATCATCTCCAGCTGCTCTGAGAGTCACATCATTAGTATTTTACCGTTTAATTTGAGAAAAACTACCGTCATATCATATACATAGCAGCTGCCAGTTCTAACCCATCAAAATAAAAGTTTGGTGAAACTGTGACAGAAATATATTATTATTATGCAGTAGAATTT